GTGGCTGATTGTATTAACAGTAGAGTAATGACTCCTTAGACTTTTGGAAAATATGCATATAAGAAAATTATTTCATGATGAATCCCCCACAGTTACAATCTAGTTTTCAGTGTGAAACTCTAGTGAAAGGTGCTCAATTTTATTTGAGAGGCTAGAGGTCTGAATCGTTGTCAACTAGAAAAAAGGTGAACTGGAATTGGAGAGGACCTGGAAGAGACTAAACCTCAACTTCGAATTAAATAATCCGTGAAATTGGGTTGAGTTGACTGGAGTGTTAAGCCAACAGCACTATAAATTCCAGAAACAGATCTATACCTACATGGACACTAGGGTTATGATAAAAGCTTTACTGAAGAGATGAGAAAATAATGATGTTTAAATAAGTGTGTGTGGAAAATAGGATATGTTTATGGAAAAATTAAAAATGACCCAAGGTCATACCATATGGAAAAGTACAATTCAGATGAAATGTAGATTTAAATTTAGGCAAAATAATAAATATTCTAGAAGAAAACATAGAGAACATCTTCAAACTTCATGATGTGAAAATGCAGAATAAAATATTGTTTTAAAAAATATTGCTTGGGGCAGCCCCGGGTGGCTCAGCGGTTTAGCACCACCTTTAGCTCAGGGCGTGATCCTGGAGACCTGGGATCGAGTCCCACGTCAGGCTCCTTGCATGGGGCCTGCTTCTCTTTCTGCCTCTCTCTCTCTCTATGTGTCACATTAATAAATAAAATCTTTAAAAAAAATATTGATTGGATACGTTAAAATTGCAAACACCTGCTTATCAAAAGATACAAAAAATGAGTGAAAAAGAAAACCAGTGGAGAAAACTGCAACATATATGAGTGATTATGCGCACACACACATTATAAATATAAATAATATAATGTATATGTTTGCTTCCTACCAAAAAATTATGCTAATACATATGTAAACTATCTCCCACAAAGAAACAGAAATAATTTAAAAGTTGGCAAGAGGGATGCCTGGGTGACTAACCATTTGGGTGTCTGCCTTTGGCTCAGGGAGTGATCCTGGGGTCAGGAATCGTGTCTCACATAGGGCTCCTTGCAGAGAGCCTGCTTCTCCCTTTGCCTATGTCTCTGCCTCTCTTTCTCTATGTGTCTCATGAATAAATAAATAAAATCTTTAAAAAAAATTGACAAGATATTTAGCTGGTATTTTGCACACAAATGTTTTTCAATGGCTTACAAACATAGGAAAAACTATTTGATCTCTTTGAAATCCAGAGGAAGAACAGTAAAGCATAGTGAGTTATCAGTTATCATTATATACACACTATGATGGTAAAGGAAAAAGACAGCTCAGGCCAAGCTTTATAATATACAATGGTGGGTAGTCAGCTGAATGCCTGAGGAGGATGCTCTGCTAATCTCTGGAGCTCTTTCTCTGTGTTGCTCTCTCCCAGGATTCTGTTCATCCTACAAGCTCTAGCAGCATCCTTGGTTTTCTAGCACTTTCAGCTTAATCTGCTCAACACAGGGAGTCTCTTGGGCTCTGCTGGGGTCTCCTAGCCTGGCTAGGAGCCCTGGAGCTTCTCTCAAGATGGTAAACTTGTAGAAACGTAGGGCTCATCTTATTTATTTCCCATCTCTAAGAGATCACATTGTATTATTCTCTGCCCTCTAGTATCTCAAAATTTCTGTTTCATTTTGTCCCCATTTTTTGGTTGTTTATGAGTAAATCTGGTTTATGGTGCTCCGTCGTAGCTAGAAGCAAGAGCAGTATCACTGCTTTTTAAGTGATTTTTCTCAGCATAGTTAAAAGCAGAGTTCTGCTACTGCAAACTAGTGAAAATACTAGTTGTATCATTTTATTTATCATGTCATATATTGCTTTCTGAAATCTGCTTTTAGTTTAAATAATAAAATACAATTAAACTGGTCATCATATTCTTCTTTATTAGTGTCTGGATTATGAAGACAAATATTTACCAAAGAAATTCTTATGTTCCCATCTGAATTATCACAATCCTCCGAAGTATATCATGTTCACCTCTCAGAAGGGTGATAAAGGTTCATATTGCTCCCTGAAACTTTCACTAGCTACCGTATCTCATGTGTTGCAAAAGATGCTAAAGGATCCTTTTAGTCATTGATTCAATGTGGCTCTCTATGTGGAAATTTTACATTCCATGTTTTTATAATGGAAATATATTAGATAAAGAAGCTTGGACTTGTTTCATTGAACTGGAAGTTGAGGCATTTTTCTTACCATTGTCTTATTGAACACTCATAATTGCTGCTTTGCTTTGTGTCAGATGCACATGTTATTTATTCCTCTTGCCTGTCACTGAGTGATAACCACTCATGGTTGAGGCGAGTAGTCCTACCACATTAATGCCTCATTCTCTCATTTAAGAAGATATTCAACACAGCAGAGTCCAAGCGTGCCCAAGTGTGTGGAGGTTAAATCTGCTTAAAACGAAAAAGCATAAAATGTGTGGATTTTGTTGGTATATTGAATTAAATGAACCAAAGCAAAAATAGATATTTAAGAAAATCAGGACAAATTAAAGATACAGGTTATTAGAAAACACTAGTATTTATGCTTTAGGTTTCCTTTTTTAATATAATAATGATATAACTATTTTGAATCTTTATCACTTAGAGATACTTACAAAATGACATATGAGCCATATTGTATGATAAATATAATGGCCTTAAAATACTCAAAAAAGAGTTAGGTGTTTGCATTTGAATAGAGACAGTGACAAGAGCTAAAAGATATAGTAGAATAAAAATTTTGACAAAAGGTATGAAAATTCAAATGAGTTATTAAAAAGGAAATACATGACAATCTGAACAAAAGAGATTACTACAAAAGTAAATAAAAGAGAATCATATGTATTTAAAATAGTGGTTAAGGTAATTCATAAATAATATGTATTTTTATGAATAGATATTAAATGTATATTAAAATCACATCATCAATAATAAGCAATTTTCATTAGTCAGCTTGTATGGTTGAATAACTATTACCATTATGTTTCTGAATATAGGCTTACCCCCCAGTAGTTGCGATTTCTGATGACAGGGTATAAGTAAAATGTCAATAACATTCACTTTTTGAGACATAGGTGAAATAGGAGAAGAAAATCTATTTAGAATTTTACTTTTTTGCAATGTCTTCAGGATGATTTCTTCACAAACATGCCCAAGGTAGAATCATTTAAAGTTGTTTCTGTTCAGGAGATATACTAAATCGAGAGCAGACAAACGAGTCTGTGGGCCAAATCTGGACTGCCACTCATGCCTGTAAATAAAATCTTATTGACCATTACGGTAACCGTAGCAGCTACATGTCATCTGCGGCTTCTTCTTTCCTTCAATGGCAGAAGGAAGTGGTGATTTTAAATTATATATATTATATATTGTATCTTATAAATATAAAACATATGGGACACATGTATTATAAATATTGCTAATTTTCAAGAAATGGAAAAAATAGAAAATCATATTTAATAGAAAGGAATGTCAAAGTAAGACCAAGGTATATTAAAAACATGAAGACTTTCATATGTTTTATCTCTAGAAAGCTATACCATATAGGCTGTTTTAACATAAAAAGAAATGTCTTTGCTACACATAAAATTAGTGAGATTATGTTTTTACTTAAAATAGTTGTGTTCTTTTGCATGATTTAAAAATCCATGTAGTGTATAAAGGTTAAACTAAACAAGTTACACTGGTTTAAATTGTACCATATTAATGCTTTGAGGTCTTTTTTTTTTTTTTTTTTTTAAGATTTCACTGCTTGAGGACATGTGTGAGCCTAGGGAAAGCACTTAATTTGTTCATGCAGAGAATTCATTTTAGGTTTTCTGATCTTTCAGGGAGAATTTGATTCATTCTTTAATACCAAAAGATAGTGATCTTTTCTAAATAGCATCATAACATGAGGACTTTTCTGTCCTTCTACATTATAAACAGAATACTAATTTCCGTAAGCTCTACAGGGAGTAAAATTTACTTTATGAAAAAGAGTAAAACACAGTTTTTTTTTTTTTTTTTTTTTTTAGAAATCATGCTCTAGGGGTAGGATAAACAAGTCAGATATTTCATGGAAGGCATCAATACAAATAGCTGTTCACAAGAATTAAGACAGCAAAATGTTTTAACTGTAAAACAAGTGAGATTAGATAACAATATTCATTTAAATGTGTGAGTGACTCATCTTGTCTGCGCAACCCAGCCTCTGCTCTAGGTCATGCACAAAACAAGACAGAAGTTTTCCAAAAGCAAATCTCAGTGTGCCTGTAGTAAAGAAGTTGTCAGAAGGACTTTTCTTTAAGCTCCTAGCCTATGGAGTTTCCTTTTATAGATCATCAATAAACACCATCATAGAAATAATAAAGGTCATCACTTCCACATTACAGAAACTTATCTTGTCATGCCATGTTTTTCATGGAGGTGCTTCTTGGTCTCATTGGCATGACTATTAAGTATTAATTAAGTTTTTGAAGATTGAATCATTAAGATTTAGAGTATTTTTAGTTCACTTAAGCCATGTGAATAGTCATCCCAATTTCATTTATATTTATCTTGGTTTCTGTCTCAAGTCAGCCTGACTGACTCGTTTATCTGAGTCTACTAGCAGAACCCATAATGGCATTATTTTAACTCCTATCTACTCTTTCTATTCTGTTCTCTGTAGAGACAAAAGATGACCCGCTTTTCTCCTATACATAACTTGAATTATTTAATTATTTGATTTTTATACACTTAAACAATTAAAAGCACTGCAATTCTACTACTACTACTACTACTACTACTACTACTACTACTATCACTACTACTGCAAATACTATAGGTAATTAGAAGCCATTGCCTTATTAATATTTCTGAAAGATGTTTTGCTGCTTTTGCCCTTCTTATAAAAAATTAGACAAGTTTCTCATTTCTTAAGAAATTATATATGAATAAGCTCTCACCCCCCCTTCAGGAGCGGTAGTGAGATCAGATCCATCTAAGATGGGGACTGTGGAACCGGAAACCACCCCTACTCCTAATCCCCCGCCTACAGAAGAAGAGAAAACAGAGTCTAATCAGGAGGTTGCTAACCCAGAACACTATATTAAACATCCTTTACAGAACAGATGGGTACTCTGGTTTTTTAAAAATGATAAAAGCAAAACTTGGCAAGCAAACCTTCGGCTGATCTCTAAGTTTGATACTGTTGAAGACTTTTGGGCTCTGTACAACCACATCCAGTTGTCTAGTAATTTAATGCCTGGCTGTGACTACTCACTTTTTAAGGATGGTATTGAGCCTATGTGGGAAGATGAGAAAAACAAACAAGGAGGACGATGGCTAATTACATTGAACAAGCAGCAGAGACCTAGTGACCTGGATCGCTTTTGGCTAGAGACACTGCTGTGCCTTATTGGAGAATCTTTTGATGACTACAGTGATGATGTATGTGGAGCTGTTGTTAATATTAGAGCTAAAGGTGATAAGATAGCAATATGGACTACTGAATGTGAAAACAGAGAGGCTGTTACACATATAGGGAGGGTATACAAGGAAAGGTTAGGACTTCCTCCAAAGATAGTGATTGGTTATCAGTCCCATGCAGACACAGCTACAAAGAGCTGCTCCACTACTAAAAATAGGTTTGTTGTTTAAGAAGACACCTTCTGAGTATTCTCATAGGAAACTGCATCAAGCAATCGAGATTTGGGAGCTGAACCAAAGCCTCTTCAAAAGCAGAGTGGACTGCATTTAAATTTGATTTCCATCTAAATGTTGCTAAGATATAAGAGAAGTCTCATTCACCTTTATCTTGTACTTCTGTGTTCATATATATTTTTTTTGTATTTTGGCTAGAGTGTCCACTATCCCAATCAAAGAATTAACAGTACACATCATCCCCAGAATCCATAAATGTGTTCCTGGCCCACTCTGTAATAGCTTAGTAGAATTACCATATAAACACATTTTGCCCATCCACAATATTCAAAAAAGAACTTCCATTTCTATACCTTACAGGAAAAAAATTCTGTTTATGTTCCATTGTATGCAGGAGCATATTTTGCTGGTTTGAAAGAGTATGATGCATACATTTTTCTAGCAATTTTCTTTGTTTCTTTTTACAGCATTGTCTTTGCTGTACTCTTGCTGATGGCTGCTAGATTTTAATTTATTTGTTTCCCTACTTGATAACATTAGTGATTCTGATTTCAGTTTTTCATTTGTTTTGCTTTTGTTTTTTTCCTCATGTAACATTGGTGAAGGATCCAGGAATATGACACAAAGGTGGAATAAACATTAATTTTGTGCATTCTTTGGTAATTTTTTTTTTGTTTTTTTTTTTGTAACTGCAAAGCTTTGGTACAAATTTATGCATTTCATTCAAATCAGTGACCTATGTTTGTGTGATTTCCTAAACATAATTGTGGATTATAAAAAATGTAACATCATAATTACATTCCTAATTAGAATTAGTATGTCTGTTTTTGTATCTTTATGCTGTATTTTAACACTTTGTATTACTTAGGTTATTTTGCTTTGGTTAAAAAAAATGGCTCAAGTAGAAAAGCGGTCCCATTCATATTAAGACAGTGTACAAAACTGTAAATAAAATGTGTACAGTGAATTGTCTTTAAAAAAAAAAGAAATTATATATGAATAAAAAGGTAATATGTAGATTTACAGTGACTTTAAGACAAATACAAATTATGAAATTTGGTTGATATTTTAGAGGTAACGGGCACAAAAATCTTCTATCACAAAGACATACTTGTAATTTAATCTAGCATACTTCTATCATTTTAACTACAAGGAGAATATTTAAACGAGTAGAAGATAATTAGGGTTAATGATTAATATGTATACAGCAGTGTAGACTGACTACATATTATAGGAGACATCTATCTGATGGGTTAGTTATACATTCCAATTGGTTCTTGACCTCAAATAATTTGTTAAATATTCTGATTTTCAATCAGAAACAACTTGGTAAACTTATATGATCCCATCTCTACATTTAGTGTCATAAAAAGTTGAATGCCTAATATTCCTTTACAAGATATATCACTTTCTAGATAAAACACAGAATCTGGACTGTGTGAGTGGCTTAACTAATGTTACAGAGCTAGTTTGTCTATTCCCAAAACTGGTATTTGGCATATCCTTGAGTAACTCAGTTGCAATCCAAATATTTCAAAAGCCTGATTTAGAGTTTTATTAGGTACAATCATTTATCTTGGCTGTTTCTGATTTTTATGCTCAAGATTGGAATATGTATTTTAAACAGGGGAAGCTTAAACACAAGAATATAAATTTGATGTAACAGTGACTTTCTAAGAAACTCAATCTATGTCTCTTGACTATTCCAATCTGTTACAGTCTTCATAATAGCTTGGCTACATTACCACTAGTGCTCTTGCTCCCAAATCTTGCCCATTCAAAATCCAACCTAAGAAATACTATTTGAATATATTTCTAAAATGGGAGAAAAATGGAAATCTAGTATATAACTTCAATGCTGCAAAAGGTATTGAATTGATCATCTCTCTCATAAAGTGTAGAAATAACAAAAGGTAAATGCACATGTTTACATAGTATGCTTATACATGAGAATTATACATACACACGTGCATATGCAATGTATGTCTTTCCTATTCAAGAAATAATATTCAAAAACATAATATTCAGGGCACCTGGGTGACTTAGGCAGTTAAGTGTCTGACTTTTGGTTTCGGCTCAGGTCATGATCTCAAGGTCGTGAGATCAAGCCTTGTGTTGGGCTCCACACTGGACATGAAGCCTGCTTAAGATTTTTTCTTTCCTTCCCTTGAGGTCCCCATGCTCACATGCTCTCTCTATTTCTCTCAAAAGAAACATAATATTCAATGTCTTTTCTTATTGTTTTGTGCAATTTACCCATTGCTGGCTTACTCTCCTAGTAAGATATAATATTTTATAAGTTGATTTGTGAACTATAACCCCAGTGATAGAAGTGTAATACGTTTTCCCCCTCATATACTGTGTGTATGTGTGTGTGTATGTCTATATGTGGAGATTTAAGATGTGCGCCGGCTATTGATTTCTTGCCTCCTCACTTGAAATACATACATTTTCTACTCTGTGAAAATGGATCTGGGCCCTTAAAATATTTTTCTTTGTCAGTCAGCACTGAAGCTTTGTCAGTAAAAGGCACAAAGAAGACATTGCAAGAGGAAAGAACCTTTGCTTCCTAGTTCAGGTGTGCTTACTCAGCAGGTGCCTGAAGCACTCACTGGGCATGGCTTCTCTAGTTCCCGGTTCCTACAGCTTCTTTGGCAACAATTTCCTGCAACACACATGGTTTCCAATGAACCTAGACATACTTAGCAGTTTATGGAATCATACATCAGCACGCAGTCCCATAGGGGATATTACATTAGGAAGCATGAACTGGAAGCTCTTGGACTTCCATTCCTTTTCAAGATAATAAATCAAAAGCAATACCAAATTCCTGGGGTAATGCCAGAAATTGATCCCACCATAAAACACTTGAAAGAAAGCAGAGGTGATATTATCTATCATAGTTCTTCAGAGATTTCTGATGCTCCTGATATTCCCCAAAATATCACACTGGTCCACCATGTGATACTACATTATTCTGATTGAATCTGAAGTAACGGGTTCTTGAGAGGTCTTAGTAAGAAATATGTAAATGAGAGAGTTGGAGGTCAATTTCACAAAAATTCAAGGACAAATCACCCTAGTGACATATCTAGGATTCAATGGTCTGGAGTAGATTGAGATATCCCTTCAAGGTGAAAGACAAGTTGCTATACCTCACCACTAAAAACAGAGAGGTACAATGCTTAGTGGACATTTGTGTGGAAATTAGAGGCAACATATTACAGAATCACCTGTAAGGAGGTCAGTTTTTAATGAGACCAGAATAAGAGAAGTGTATAGAGGAAGTTAGTTGAGTCGATATACCTCACACTGATCATAGGGGGACATTACAGTAAGAAACGCTAACTGGAAGCCCCTAAAACTTCCATTCCCTTCCACGATAATAAATTGGAATCAATACAAATTCCTGGGAAAATTATAGAAATTAGTTTCCCTATATAGTGCAAGTTGCTCTATCACTGGGCATTGTGATCCAGCAAATCCAGAGACATTTGACCTGTGACAAATAAGAATGTTATATCAAGTATAGAATGGATAGCAAATGAGGGAAGACATGGATATTAACTCATAGTCTGATAATCACTTATAAAAACTAATCTTCGCACATTTCTATTTGCAGGCTATGTGTGCGTGGTTTCACTTTATATATTTTTCACGTCCCTTTATGTTTTCACTTTATATACTAGTTGTTAGGAGCTAACTTTATAATTTAGTCTTTAGATAGTCTGTGGGATGGTGGCTGAAGCTCAGGGGTACTTAATCTATCCACTGATGTATACGGTGACTCATGATTGTATGTCTCCTCATTTAGGGGAAAGCAGGAAGATTCTTTTCACTTAATAGAATGATAGCTGTGTCTTTTTAAGTAGAAATACAGAGTTACTTTGTTGTTTATTGAAAAGTTCAAATGTTTGTAGAAGGGTATATATGGAAGCTAAATAGCCAAAGGGGTGGATTGGGTCAGTTGGTGATTTATTTGTTCTTTGCCTCCAATTCATCTTTTTCCCTGCTTTGTGAAATGCATCTTGGCCCATAAAGCATCTTAGCTCTTTACCAGCTGGCACTGAAGCTTTGTCAAGTAGAGAGTGCTGGAGAATTGTGCAGGAAAAAAAAAATGCTTTCTGCTTCCTGGTTCTCATGTGCTCACCAGGCAAGCCCCTGGAGTCTGTATGGCTTTCTCCAGGACCAGGGCCCTAGGTTTCCAGCAACTGTAGTGAACAAAAGCAAGGAAGACAAGCAGCTAACAGTTGTGACTGGCATCCCACTCACCTTAGGTGGTTTTTGTAGCTGAGTGCTTCTGGTTTCTGCAGTGCTCACAGTTTCAACAGAACCGGTTCTCGCAGTATTATGGTGGTCAGCAGCAAACACCAGGTAGCATTTTTCCTTGACTCGTCTCCTTAGGCAGGTTTCTAGTGAAATGCCTCCGAAGAGATACCACCTCATGAACAGCTTTCCTAAATACCTTAGAATTAGTATTTCCCACAAGATCTAGGAGGCAAATATCCAAGTTCTTTAGGACAGGGCCACCGAGATTTCCCTGCACATAATGAGCCATAGCTGAGCCCCCTCCAGCACAATCTGGATCTTTTCTTCAGGCATTGTGCATCTCCCTTGGGAGAACTAGCTGCTTGTGATATCTGCTCTTCTTATATCTTTGAGATTTCTGTTTGCTTCTTCTTAACCTAACCAATCCCTTTATTCCAATACCCTTTTATGTGTATTTAACTACCTTCCCCTATTCAAATTTCTATGTAGTGTCCCTCTTCTCTTTAGATCCAGATGAATAGATGACTTCTATCTCCATATTGCTAGAAATATTTCACTTCAAGTATGTGTCTTCTGTTTCAGTAGCTTTATTTAGAATTTATACTACACAATCCCAGATCGTCTACCACTAAATATATTACCTACCGTATATATTAGCCACAACTCTTTCCACTCTTCTTCATCATGCCAAATATCAAGGTCTGTACCAATTAATTTATTAGTCAGATGAGGCATGTATATCAGAATTTCAGAAATTGTTTTAAAAGTGTTTGGGGCCTCGGGCAGCCCTGGTGGAGCAGTGGTTTAGCGCTGCTTGCAGCCCAGGGCGTCCTGGACTCTGGATCAAGTCCCATATCAGGCTCTCTGTATGATGCCTGCTTCTCCTAACCTCTGCCTGTGTCTCTGCCTCTCTCTCTCTCTCTGTCTCTATGAATAAATAAAATCTTTTTAAAAAAAAAGTGGGGCCTCTTCTAATTATGTTATTTGTGCTTTTTCTCCACTGTCTGTTCTACATGTATGTATTATGAGTTATCTTGCCTGCTACTGGGGCTCTACTGCTAGGTTATCTTAGGGTAACAGCTATCTCAAGATGCAGTGGTCTCTGTTCCTAGACATAGTTTATAAATCTGTAGATCATCAGTTCCAAGGACCAGGAACCAACTTCTTTACTCTCCAGTCTCCTGTGACCTCCCAGGCTACTTTCCTAAACTTTCTACAAAAGTATAAGAACCTCTACTGAGTAACTTTTCCCTGGAATTTCCCACATAGGGAAATCTGACTTAGGGCAGAGAAAGCCCTACAAAGGTGACCGCACTAATATCTTCCAGTGGCAGGCTTCCTGCTATGTCAGCACTATCTCTGCTTCAGAGAAGTGTAGGGTAGAGTCCTAGACCAGATTAAAGGG